TAGCCAACCATGCCGACTGATTAAACTCAATGACTCTATGTACCTTTAAATATTATAACGTTAAAAGTTTTCATCGCAGAATTGTTGTAAATTAAACGCTTACTTTATCTACTTTAAGACCGTTTTTAATGGCTTGCTGCAGATTACGGTAGTGAACAATATAATTTTTCTTGGGTTCTAATGTTGCAATTAGTTTTTTCACTTTTGAACCAGTAGGTATACCGTTCTGTGGTAGAAAAGGCAAGTCGTTGTGTTTATCATGTAATTCTTGTGGATAGGATATATCCACCTCGTATATCCTTCCTATGGGTGAAGTATCAGTCAAATTGTTCAGTTCGTCGAGTGTAGGTTTAACCCATTTGAACCCACCGTATGGCATGTATTGTGACATGGCCCATCCATACAAGTTATTGCCTTAAATTAAGAAAAATATATTTAACTGAATAAATTACAATTATAAAAAAACTTACAGTCTTGGTATATCAACCATGATTTTGGATTTGCCTGGTCATAATCTGGAGTCTTTTTGTGGTTCGCTTTGGCGTATCTCATACTTGCTTGTGTAAGACCGCCTCGTATACCTATAAAAAAATCATATATTATTAAATAATAACATTATAATATTATAAAATATTATATCATTACCTTTTTCGATCATCAGCAACATATCATAGTCATGAAGTAGTTCGAGCTTCATTGAAGTATGTTTCAACATCGCATCAAAAGAGAAGCCTGGACAAGTGTAGTAGAATGCTGGATCTAGGGCGTATGTTGCTAAACAAAGGTCTCGGAAGTTCTCAAACACATCAGCTAACATCATTATGTCGATTTTAAGATATAAGTCTGAATATTCTCCCAAGTTTTTGCATTTGAAATGGTCCCATACTGAGATTGCGTGTTCGTATTCACTATCGCATATATATTCTTCAGTCAACGTACTATAAAAATCCGCTTTCTTAGGCAAATGGGTCTCCTCCAACTTGCTCCAACTATCGGTAAACTCGTAGGGATATACACCTTTACGTGTGACAAGGTTCATATCATTATGCTTGAATGCTTTTGCGGTTTCTCTGAACTTCTCGAACTCGGGCGTTATTAAATTTTTGGCTAACGTCGATAAGCTGGATGCCATAAATCTAAATGTATCTATAAATCTAATTGTGAAGGAGTTGTTGATATATTTCGAAAACGAAATGAATTTCTCCTCGCTGTTTGGTATTACAGAAATTGTGCTCGTGTCATATCCAAGTTCAGTTACCAAAAAGTGAGCATCATAGTTGGTTAAATTGTGAAAGAAAACCGGTACGAAATTTGGTTGTTGAAGCTTGAGATTACATGAATTACATAAAGTTTGTCTAAATTTGCCTGATAGATGACAATGATCAGCTACTTTATGGTTTTCTTTGGAAAATCCCTTTTTGCATAAATTACATGTTGTACATACATCATGTGTGCGTCGCTGTTCCGGTGTCATTATAATTGGTGTGTTGGTTTTGAGCAGTTTGTCTATTTTTTCTGCTATTTCCACAATACTTTGTACAAAATGTTTTGCTACCTCTTTATTTTCATTACTTCCACGGTATATAACTGGCGATGTTGGTATTTCAAATTCTTCAAGCAGTTCTTTTGGTATGTGGTCATCGACCTTTACGAAAAAACCATAACTCATAGGCTCATGATTTTGAATTACAGTAGTATTTTTTCCCTTTTTCTCGTTACATTTAACGAGAAGCGCCTCGAAGTCGGCATAAATAACTATGGGGTGGCGTTGTGTTTTGTTCCATGCGCTAAACTCCAACATTGAACCGGGCTCAGGCATCTGAGGTAAAATTGGTTTATGCGACCCACATATCAATTTATGTTGATCAAGTGCTGCTTGCCCACATAGTGTATTTTTCAAAGGTCGATTATCATACGATGTGAAGCAACGTTTGCAAAATACAACAGAGTCGTTATGTCCAGTTTTTTGTGATCTAATAAGCCGGGAAAAATTAGAGATGTATGTGTAGTGGTTTTTATCTCCGACAGTAATTAGTAAAAGATCGAAATGATCTTTTTTTTCTTCATCCACAACTTTAAGTGGGAAAATCATATGTTTCTTATTATTTTCTTTTTTTAATCCATAAACGTTGACAGACGTGTTCAGGTTATTTTTTTCAAATATTTTTATTTCTGTGATGGGTGTCGGGAATGATAAACCAGAAAAATTATAATTGTCCTCGAGCGATGTATAATTTTCAGTTACAATAGTTTTGTTATTGCCCATAACGTGTCTTGCTAAGATTGCCCACTTGAAGCACTGTTGGTCCGAGTTTTGGGGATTGATGACTGCCTTTTTATTCTTAATATAATTTGATAATGGAATGTATGATGAGCCACCC